CAGCTAAAATCGACCTGCTACAGTCGAAAAACCTAGAATAAAAAATCTAAATGAGGAAGAACAACACTCGTCTCTAAAGCCTAGATCATTTCCACATTGTCACTACGTAAACCTAACCTGACGGACGATAAAGCTTTATTTGAAGCAAACAAAAGATCTTCGTTTTCAACCAGCATTAGCAGCCTGTGATATATAACAAATTTAATACGTTCAGCAATTCCTGCTTAGAAACTTTTGCGGGGGCTTTTCCTTGCCCCCTAAAATTTTTGTTTGAGGGAGGGGGTTACAGTCATTCCTATCCTTCCTTGAGCTCCCCCCCCCCCTCACCGATCAAAGTGAGTCAATCAATTAATAAAATTGTGTTTTCCTGACCAAGATAAAAGGGTATTACCCTTAAATTGAGACCATGATCCTGTGACAAGCAACTGATCGAGAAAAACACTGAAATATGGGCCAAGTGTCTAAAGCCATCGTTAAAGATGCAAGTCAAACTGCGTTGATTCAATGTACATAACCCAATCAATATAGAACTTTTTAGCAATTACAAGCTGGTTCCAGGTCTAAAGTAGACAAACTTAATGCTATCCCGCTTGACTGCACTTTGTATGTCTCTGAGTGCCTTTTGAAGGACGTGAACGAAAATTGCTTCAACTTCTGCTGACCTGGGTTTTTCAAACATATGTAATATCTGCGAAAGGATTCCAAATACCCTCTGGGATGGTTTGCGCTGCATACAAGTAAGTTGTTCTGTTGTGCCCAGGATGTGGCAGGCAGTCTTTTCCACGTTAGTAGTTGATACGGGCAAGGTAATCGTCTCGGGATCTGTCCGAGTCCGTTTGGCAGTACTCCTTCCTTGGGATTCTTTCATAGGCCGGTGAGCAGATTCATCTGTTGACGTAAACTGTTCATAATAATTAAGAAAGATAGGGTCTTGATTAGATTCTGTACTATGTATCATTTTGGGATTAGAGGGCTCTTTGAAAGTAGCACCTCCCCTATCAAATAAGGTGTCGTACTCAGGGGGCTCTCGTTGGTGTTTTCTTGCCTCCTCGGCTGGTATCTGTCGAAGAAACTGAACATCGTCTTTTGAAGAGTAAGAGGGCAGCGGGTGTGTCTGTGTGGAAACCTGACAATCCTCTCGAGCGGTGTAAGATGGCGAAGAATTCTGCTGATCAATCTTATAAAAATCTCGGTTAAAACCAGGATGAGGTCCAAAGTCAGCCATCTGTCCCTCAAGGATCCTCTCAAACTCCTGAATGTCATCTAGCAGCTGTTTTTCTGCATCGTGGTCCAGAATGGCTTGATTCAGGGACATCAGCTTGTCTCGATCATTATTCTTTCGGATGTTCACAGCTACGTCCGAAGGAGCCATGTCCCTGCCGGTGCAATTTCTTTGTTTGTCTTTTTGAAGTGTATTGGTATGCCTAGTTTGCAGCTTAAAGTTCACGCATTGTGGCAGAACACACAGAGTGTCTGAACAATTCTTTCCATGAAAAGCATTATCAAAGCTCTTTTGAAACGTTAGTGTATGCTGCATAACCTCGGAAGGGTATTGAAGTCGGTTTATGTTGGTGAAATATCTATAGCAGAAAAACAAAAATACCATAAGGAGGAATATCCGTATGAACTTTAGCCCCTTAATTGCTAAGAGAGTGACCAGCATCTAGTTTCTCCTTACAATATCAGTCCTGAATCACACATTAAGTCACGAGAATTAAGTAAATTATCGTCAACAAAAGAGGCTCTGAATTGCTCGCCAATTCTCCTTGTCAGCACCTTAGGAAATGTAAAGGGAACAGTCTGGAGAGAGTGGATGCTGATGTTAGGGTGTAAAGGTTTAAATAGTACAATCATCTCCATGCCACGAGTGCAAAAGCACGTTCATGCTTACGAACCGAGCTGATTGCTTTCAATTTTCGCAGTTGATTAACAGTGCGAGAGAAACATGGAGGTATATTGTTTAATTATTATGTAAATGATGAAAGGAAGTTCAAAATAATTTCACCGAGGGGCCACACAATCGAGCGAACTTATTTGTGAAAGAGAATGCAAAACAGTTTGTTCACGAAAAAAACTGGATCATTTTCTGCACTTTCATTAATTAATTTATTCTGACTTACGATATGACTGTAAAAAAAGAGGGAAGAAAGGTTGTCGTGGTCACCTCTTCCATTAACAACCACAAGCGACCTATTATGGTCAAATCTATACAATCAATTTTGCCTCCAGCAAATTGTGGTCATGTTAATCTAAATTCTATTTTATGATCTGTTCCAAATTGCATGTTTAGACACAAGTTATAGTCCATGTTTTACGAAAGCAAGTTCGTCAAAACTTTTGGAATTGTTTCCGTTTATAGTGCAAAGACCTTAACAAATTGTGTCTTGTAAATATGTTTTACAAGCCAGAAGATCAATTACATGCGGTCGAAGTTAATCAAACGAGTGGGAAACGACAAGAGTAATGCAGGAAAAGGAACATGCTGAATCAGCCGAAAGAAGGAGAAGAGGAATCGAACCTTCTACTTGACATGTTTCTAATAAACATAGTTCCTATCCAACCAAAGTTCGATGACGTTAACATTGATAACTAAACACTGATCACACGTTAACACTTTTGAGTAAAAAACAAGATCTGCTCTCCGCAAAACCATTCCCATCGCCTCTCTTGACTTAAAAGGACGAGGACAGTTGACCGCGTAGTAGCCTACATTGACGCAATGTAAAATAGAATATTAATTACCTCGTGTCTTCGTGTTTGAAAATGTCTCTATTTCTGATGCGCGTACTCCTGATAAAGTTTAAAGACTACGGAGACCACAAGCACATGATAGAACCGCCTACTCTGAGTTTACTCCGTTGAATTTACCGCCTTTATAATAAACGATTTTACAAATTATATTTTGAACTTTCTAGAACATAATGACGAGCGTTTACGAAGGAGAATCCCGAACGGTGCCGACGCCTTAAGATATTGTGAAGTGGAGCTTCGAGAAAAATCGGTTTATGCAAATTACTTTGCCGTGGTTTCCGAAGAAAGAGGAAGATAGAACAATATTGTGTTCAATAGGAAATAAGCAAACCAAACTTAACTTAAGCAGTTATAGGGCATCCAGTTGCGGTTCATAAATCGATTAGGAAAAGCAGAAACCAAATGTAAACACCAATTCTCTAAACAAACAAGGAAAAATATGTTTAAAAATAGCTAGAACTTGGTGACGTCAAGAATTCAACAATGATCCTCCCTGAACTAACCCAGCCGTGTAAAATCCAAATACGAAATATTTGTTTATTGTTTGATGTATCAAAGAGGGAAAAAATTCCAAATCCATGGGGAATTTCAAGTCCGTTGAGTGACATCAAGTTTTTTCGGTGTGCAATATTATATGCAAATTTTAATTGCGTGACGTGACAAATAGATCTGACTTGATTGAAAAAAACAAGCGCACGTTATGATCTAATGAATACACCTAATTGACTTAAACGCTTTTAAAGTGTATTTTTTTAAACATGGAGAACAAAACGCGTTTTCAAATTTCACGCGATCAATCATCATCAATAAGCAATCGATTATCATCACTAAGTTCTAATGTCTCTCTTCGTGTTACTTGCGTCATGTCGTTGCGGAAATGTTTCGCGGTAACATTTACGTGGGCAGATCTCGGGGAACTTACGACTATTCCCGAGCACTTGAAAACATTTCAAGTGAAAATTAACAAAAGGGTTTGTCTATGAAAATACCTACGTAAGCAGAACTCGTGGGGCCACGACGACAACGGCCCGAGCACTTCCGAAGTACCTCTCGACTCAGAGTGATATAACCGAAAGTAACGAAGTTCAACTTGTAACACAATATCTGTGACGTGTTTTAATTCGTAAGCCTGTCTGCTTTGAAAACCTACACGTGGCGCTTGATAAACTGTATATAGGCTAAGGTTATGAATAACAAATATTCATAATAGCACTGTAGAACTCCTCGACAACCCACCTGAAAACTTTGAATTCTTATAATCCTTCTATAAAAATCTCTTACAAAAGCGGAAAAAAAAACACGAAGAATCAATAACACTGTAACAAGTTCCACCTCAAAAAACGGGAAATGTATCTTCAACATATCATCGCCCACGCCACGAGACTACATACACCTTAAACTCGTTGTTTTACTCTTTATAAAATCAATTCGCACCCACGCATGAGACATGCCAAAAACTGCGGAAAAAACAGTATATTTGCTTCATTACGGTCGGGTGAAGATGAAGTTCAAACGTGATAATCGTATTTCTTCAGTAAACACTTTCTAAAACTTTTACTTTGCGTCCAGTTTAGTATATGGTTTAACACATAAGCAAACCCAAAAAGTTGAGACGGTTTCAGTTAATTTCATAGCATGTTACTGATACCGATGTAAAAAAAGAGAAGACGTTCAAACGTACAAATAAACACCCACGCTTGTACAAGTCCTATATGAAAAACCAAGATTAAGAAAATGATAAAAAGTTGCAAGTTAACTGTCAGTTAAAGGTTTCAGGGATTGAGATAAAAAAAAAAAAAAAAAAAAACAGAAGAACAAAAACTTATCAACCTTATATCAGTCATGACAGTTGCTGTTTGCGAGCAGACGTTTGTTATACTTAAACCTAAGCCGAAAAAACTTATTCATTATTACAAGTGGATTAGCGGAAGTAGATTTCACTGAAACAACAAATACAACGGAAACAGAGACTTGGAGCGAACCCTCGCAATATCCAGACCCCAAGCCGACAAAGGCGCAAAAATACTGTATTCTTACGAAGGACATTGGCAGTGTAATGCTCCATAATTAATTCCGATGAAATAGTGGTATAACGGTATAACGTAGCTTCAGAAATGCGATGTGACTTATGTGAATTAACTAAGCTGTAACTTACGACACTTACTTTTATTTTCGAGAATGTCTTTTTTAATAACCTAGCTTATCATTGTTAATTTCCTACTGGTTCTGCGCTAATGGTATCCTAACTGACGTTCTTTGAATTATTGAGCAATCTTCCCACGTTATACGAACAATACACTACATGGATGTCTCAGCGTAAAATTTATCTGAATTGCCGAATTTTCTACTACGAGTTTTTGTGCTTTCGTTGGCCAGTAAAAACAACAAACTTTCAGAGGCTTAATAAAAATTAGTCAAAAATGTTACTCTGTTATCCTAACTTTAATTATCATTGTTGATATGATTATTTAATATAAATCTAAACATTATTGAATATTCTGCAATTTTTCAGTCTCTGTCTGTATTATTAGTTTTATAATTCATTGTCATAGTTATCGTAAGAATTAATGGCCATAAGTTATTTCACCGATGATAACAATCTCTAAATCGAACTCCGTCCACGAGGCATACCAGGCATCTAGAAGAAAAACACTTGAAATCGTTCACTTGAAAATTTAAATGACAAAACCTATCGAGACAGGAACACTCCACTCAGTCGGTATTAAACACGCTGGGATCGGATGGGTGACTCTCTATACTCTCCTTAAAGTTTGATATTAGTGAGACAAGGAAACCCTGGAAGACTAAACTTGTCATCTTTATCATAATACCCATCTTTTAAACAGAAGCGCAAAAATACAATCGACTCTTGTTTTGACCAGTTGTATGAATATTTAATGAGTCGTGTAATTCAGGTCGATTTTTTGCCTTAGGGTATTTTGATAGTGCTTGGTAATCATACACTTTGATGAACTGTGCATGCGTGCGTGTCGGTACACGTTGCTTGAGATAAAGAAGGTTGTATCATCGAA